GACATAGATCCCAGCTATGGGTAAATAGCTGTACAGACCGGGTTCTATAGCCTTGGATGGCAACTGGTCTACTGCAAAAAAAATGGCAACCTACTGCGGGAAAAATATCGGCCTCGTCAGTCATGATATTGAATACGTAAGCGTGTATCCCGCTTGAAACATAAGTGACTTATTTCTGACATCCTATGACAGTAACTGCTGGACAATCTCTTCAGTGATGAAGAAGAGACTTGAAGCAACAGAAATGTCGTTCTACAGAAAGAGTTGAGAATACCATGGGCCGAACATGTAACCAGTGAAGAAGTTTTAAAGTTTGCTTTTTTTTTCCATTTTGTCATAGATTTTGACATAGATTCCAGCATTGGGTAAATAGCAGAACAGACCGGGTTCTATAGCATTGGATAGCAACTGGTCTACTGCAGAAAGAAATGCCTCGTCAGTCATGATACATGATCGCCTAAACGTGTATCACGCATGGCACATAACTGACTGATATCTGACCTCCTTTATGGCAGTGACTGCTGGACAATCTCCGCAAAGATGAAGAAACTTGAAATGTCGTTCGACAGAAAGATGGTGAGAATACCATTAACTGAACATGTGAGCAGTGACGAAGTTTTAAAAAAATTTTTTTTTTCCATTTTGTCATAGATTTGGACATAGATCCCAGCTATGGCTAAATAGGACAGACCAGGTCCTATAGCCTTAGATGGCAACAGGTCTACTGCAGAAAGAAATGGAAACCTACTGCGGGAAAAAAATATGCCTCGTCAGTTATGTATCGAAAGATACACGATCGCCTAAGCGTGTATCGCTCATGGTACATAGCTGACTATATGTATATGAAAAGTGAATCAATGTCAGAGACTTATGATTTCCTCTCCTACCTTAGACTTTATAAAATATTTTCACAGACACAACAGGGCAAATGAATAACCCTCGTCATCTACAGAAATGTTGATTGTATTAGGTTTTATTATTGACTACTAAATTAAATATTTAAAGTTTGTTTTTTTGGGTTTTTTTTTAATATTTTTTATAAAACATCAAATGTGAATCGTTAATTCGCCAACATATAAAATTTCGCAATCTCTTAAAAAATGTTTTTATTAGGTACATGTAAATGTTTTCACCTTTTTCTTCTTTTATTATTTATTTCTAAACTTAATTTCTCCTGCGTATTAAATCTCTTGATGTCAAAAAGAGCACTGGAAATATTTAAATGCCTAATATAATGGCAGACACATCAAATCGAAATTAATGTAAAAATCTAAGATCAGTAAACGCACTAGACTTTTAATAATCGCAGTTGCAATTATCTGGAAAGGCTCTTATTCTTTTAAATACAAAAGGTTGTATGCCATTTGCCTTTCTTTGTTTCAAGACTTATAATCACGATGTGATGTGGGCTTTTGATTATGTCTGTTATATACACAATATTTACATTGTCCAAACTATAGTTCGCATCTTTGTTGCTATATTTATCACAACGTTTCGGCCGTTGTACGCTCCGGCCTTCTCCAGGAGGTTAGAATGTCGAACTAAACCCTTTACTTCGCTCTCTGGGGTAGACTGTTCTAGTTCCACGTGCCATGTCTAACGGATGTCAGTTATCAGTTATCTCCTATTAACTCTCCTCTACAAGTTCACCACTGCCTTAACCAGATATTGAACTCAAACTCTTTGGGTCCTGTCACTGGATCTAAGTAACGCCTTTATCCACTGTACCATGTCTTCTAGATAAATATGGCAACAAAGATAGGGACGATAGTCCGAACAATGTAAATAGTGTACATAATATCTCATCTCAGAAATATAGACAGATTTGTTATATTCAGTTAACATAATGGTTAGTACGCTTTCAACACTCTCAAAGATTTTATTATTATTATTATTATTATTATTAATAATAATAATAATAATTTATCAGTGTCTTCAAAATATAAAAATGTAGTGTTTAAGGTTTTAATATATTATAAGTACTATCATTATCATGTGTGTCATCAGTCCTATGGCCAAATGTGGTTTTAGGGTTGCTGTGGAGTTCTAAGAAGCTGTTTGAGTGGAACTTGCTTCGCGCAGACGGAACTGGGTGGGAATGTGGGCGGTTTGCTATTGGGTCCTAGCCGTGAAAGTTAGAATTGGCGAAACTAAGGAATATACTTCGTCCGAGCACTTTCAATGTTAGTAGTGATAGATCAATGAAAGACTCCCCACATACCGCCTAATCTATCTATCTATCTATCTATCTATCTATCTATCTATCTATCTATCTATCTATTATAATAATAGATATAAAGAGACTAAGACATTTACATAGATATGTATAGAGACAAACAGTTATCAAGAAAGATAGATCGTATAATTTATGGCGTTTCGAATCCAAGGAGAGGCGACGAATTCATCCGAAGTTTCAAGAAATTAACGAATTCCATGCCTACCTGATATACCGTATAAATTCTATTTACGCTGGGATTCCCCGAGGATTTTATAACGCTGTTGGATTCTACTGTGAACAATAAGAATGTATATAACTTTAAGTTGAAATGCTGATCCCTATTGCTGTCGTGACCCCTCCTGATCCAGTATTCCTCTAAACTGTTCCCTCTTTTTAAAACGTATTCAAACCACGCAGTCACCCGTCGAGATATCGACCTTAATTTAGGTAAATGTACGTCCACTTTTGGAATAAACTGACATCTCTATATAAAGTTAGGGCAGTCCGACAAAATGCAAGAATATAGGAGTATTTAAAAAGATTTATTCTCATTTCAGTTCGACTCTGTACCGTGAAAATGCACACCAGGAAGCTGTACACAAGACAGAGGATAAAGAACGTGAATGCTGTTATCACACCGGTTTCGACTAGTTCTCTATGCATAAGTAGTTATAAGTAGAGTTGATTGAGTACCTGAAGGTGGTGTGATGGTTAGCAAGCGTGTCTCGCTACAACAATTACGACTGAGTAGTAAGATCCTGGCTGGGTGTCCCTTACTTTCGGCTTTTTGCCACATCGAAGCTACGGGTGGAAAATCACTATAAGCCCAGTTGATCCTGTCAGGTGAATGAGAAAAAAAAATCCTGGAGAGACTGTATATACTCATGTAGATAGTAACCACACTCGATGTTGTTTAACTTCGGTGATCGCACGAGAAGCGGTATTTATGCGTGATACGAATGTAAGCCAGGAGCTTCTCTAGAATAGACTTTATTCTTGGATTGTTTGCTTATGATCATAATTCTGTTTTCCTATTACAGGAGGTCGAAACCTTCAAGATTCAGAGGCCGGTATGTAAAATCAACCTTTATGACGATATCTAATTCTATATAGGTTGTTTTTTTTTTTTGTATTTTTTTTTTGTTTTTTTGAATGTTCATATATCGCCTATTATACTGAAATATACAATATTATTTTTTTTTTTTTACACTTGTCAATATTTACACACGTTAAGTAATATTACTGTACGTTTTGCATATCTGAAAAACCCATTGTGAATTGTGTATCTGTTTGTACGTCTATTCATACATGTTTAAGATATTTCGTCTCTGGATGTGAATGCTCCTTACATTATCAAATGAAAGAGAGATGGCGTTAAATGGATTTAACAAAAGCTGGGGTTATTTCTTTTGACAGATAAAACGGTGCTATTTACTTTGAAAGAGAAAGTAAAAAAAAAAGGGGGGGGGAGAAAAAGCCATAACATTTGAATCAGTAAACAGCATCATTTCCTTTACACTTATCAATAGATGTCAAGTTTCGTTTAACAATGGAAGGCAACACATTTAAGAGACATTTTATGATATCCTCGAATTCCCCGAATGAAACCTTCAAGCAAAAATGGTAAACAGTTTCGGCACAATCGTATAGAAGACCCAGCTTCTTTCAATATATGAAAATCTCAAGTTTTATGTAAGAAGTAATACGTCATACGTGCGTTAGTGAAAAGATATATCTACGTTTTTTTTTAGTTTTCTGAGTACGTATATATATATATATATATATATATATATATATATATAGAGAGAGAGAGAGAGAGAGAGAGATATAGATAGATAGATAGATAGATAGATTTAACAAATGTAAAACTTTTCATCGAAATTAGATTTCATTATGCGTTTCGCAATTCAGGGTTTCATCCGATCCGAAAACGAAAGAAATGTGTGTATGTGTATTTATTTGTATGTATGCTTAAAAATTATGTATTCTTTTTAAACACATTGAAAAGCTCGTATTCTTCAAAGTTAACATTGCAGACATATATATATATATATATATATATATATATATATATATAATGAATAAAATTGACAATATAAAACTGGTAATTGCTGACGAGTTTCGTCCAATGTGGACTTTATCAAAGCAAAATACGAAAATGAAATTAATTGAACAAAGTAACTAAAAAAAACAATTACAAATACTGACGTTATTTTCAGTTAAAAATATGAAAATAGCGTTTCTCTACCTTCCAGTTGCTAGGTACATTCTGTTTTTGTTTTTATTAGTTAATTTGTTCAATTAATTTCATTTTCGTATTTTGCTTTGATAAAGTTCACACTGGACGAAACGCGTCAGCAATTACTAGTTTTCCTATTGTCATTTTTATTCATAAATAGTGTCTTCTCTACTGGTTAAATCGAAGAAATTTTCATACATATATATATATGTATATATATAGTTTATGAAAAACTAGGTAATCCGTATGGGTAAACCTAAGGAGGATAAAATCCAGAGAGCTCAATGTAAATCCAGAGCAAATAATTTAATTTAAATAAAAACAGACCACTTTAAGGTTCCATGTAATAAATTATGGAGGTAATCCAAAGTAATTCATTACATGGAACCTTAAAGTGGTCTGTTTTTATTATATATATATATATATATATATATATATATATATATATATATATATATATATATATATATTGCGTATATTTTTTTCAGCATGTTTTCATTGAGACATGCTTGGTTCATTGAATAATTTAGACAAGTTCTGTCTACTTATTTTCATTTATATCCTCTCATATTCACGAACAAGCTTTTTGGTGCCATTATTAAAGGAAGAGAGAAATCGCTGTGTTGATATATGTTATTTTATTCGGAGTACTTTCGTTATCGCCAGGATGTTGTTTATTTCAAGATAAATATTGTAGTGTTCATCATTTTCAAAGACAAAATTGCTGTGTTCATGTGAAAGTTTTTTTGTTTTTTTTTACTTGTGAAGCGAAGAACACTGATTGAGTACGTGATCGCTTCACACCGCTTCAGCGGAGGTAACTAAGTACGGTGTGTCGAAAGTTTTTCATAAATAAGTATTAAAACTATTATTGCAAATCTTGATGTTATAAACTATCTATTATACACATCTTAAAACATTTCTGCAATATTCATACTTAATTTTATTAAGGTTTGGTTTCATTTCTTAAATATAGATAGCTTCGGGATTTTTGGTTTACGTTTATTGTTTTCATGAAAATGTATAGATGTATTTTCAATAAGAATATTTCTGAATTGAGAATGTGGACAGGTATGCTGTTGTAAATGTTTAGAAATGTCGGACATATCATTCAAGTGAAAACTCAGCCGCCGAGATAACATTTTCGTGGTGTATCCAACATAAATATTATATTTTCCGTTGGAGATACAATCTCCCAGAGGGCATTTAAATTTATAAACAATGTTGATTTTCTGAAACACGTTAGTAAGTGGGGAAGTGTCGTTACCAAAGAATGAATTAGATATACTAGATTTGGTGTAATATACAATTAATTTTATATTTTTTACTAGGATTTGTGGTGGATATATTAGTATTTATTATATTTTAGGATATTTTCGTCTTGTTTATAAACATAATGTATTTGGTAGTGATATAAAAGATTAATATGTTTAGGGTTAATTGAAACACCTGCGTGTATTAAAATTTCTGATACAACATGTTTTTTGTTCATCAGCAATATAATTCGGGAAGTTATGATTAATAAGAGTTTGTTTTATAGCATTTTAGTTCTCTTTGGAATAATTAATTTTCGCACAGTTTATTAGGCTTTTAAAATTGATATTTTATAGTAATTTGAACATTACCTCTTATAGTTAATGGTGCATAACCATGAAAGGATCCAATTGAAAATAAGTAGACAAAACTTGTCTAAATTATTCAAAGAAACATCTCAATATATATATATATATATATATATATATATATATATATATATATATATATATATAAAATTCAAGATCAATTCTCTGGACAAGAACTATAGCAACAAAGACATTTTCGATTTCATTTTGCCTTGAAAATGTCGGAAGAGGTAACGTCGGCAAAATCTAAGATTTTTTTCCAATTGTCATTTTATACCATATATATATATATATATATATATATATATATATATATATATATCTCACTCCGATAGATGGCGCAATCTTCAGGTGCTGAGTATGGAGTGACCGTTACGCAATTTTAATTATAATGTATCTGGTTGACACAATATTGGCGTTTTTATATATTACGCTGGGATTACAGTTTTTTTTTAATTTTCAAATTTTGATATTATATTTGGCAATTAAAATAAGAGGGAATTATGTAAATGTAAAAAAAAGAAGAAAATAAAATTAAAAAATTTAAATTTGAAAAATTATTCATTTTTACAATTTTTAATTAATGTGATATTACTTGTTATTATCTAAAAAAAACATGAATTTATATAGTTATATTTAAAATAAATGGTAATTTACACACACACACACACGTATATATATATATATATATATATATATATATATATATATAATGAGACATGTTTCATTGAATAATTTAGACAAGTTTTGTCTACTTATATATATATATATATATATATATATATATATATGTGTGTGTTGTGTGTGTGTGTGTGTGTGTGTGTGTGTGTGTGTGTGTGTGTGTGTGTGTTTGTGTCTGGGTGCACGCGCGTGTGTGTTAGTTTACCTCTTTCTTTTCTCTTGCATATTAATCTTAATAAATATTGTTGATATGAAAAATACACACAAAAAAAAACTTTTGGCAATATTTTAAAAAGGAAAAGAAAAGCAAAAATAATTGCAACAAATTTCAGGTTTCTCTATGCAAATACAGATATATAATGTTATTCTCTGGGTTAAGCATAACAAATAGCCAAATTATCGATTTGAGATAATAATGAAGAAAAAAGATACGAACAAACAATGCTAGACTTTAATGCAAAACACATAACTTCCACATACTGATAACATAACATTCTAATGCAGACATGAAAGTATAAAAATGCTACGAATATAAAGACAAAACGCCGAGTTTAGAAGTTGAAGAAATATTCAAGATAAGAAAAAATACGGAAAGATTAGTAACAGCTTATAATATCTTAAAAGACACAAAGTTGAATCGTTTCAAGCAGGTAATGTAGAGCTAAAGATATAGGAATCTCGACATTAGAATTGAAAGAATTAAAGCCTCTGATAACTGAGCATGTCTTAAAAAGGAACAA